GCTAAATTAGGGACGGCTAGCGCAGATAGACCTAGTGGAGCTTTGCACGAAATTCAAAACCAACAAACTTTATAGCACTTTTCAAATAGTGCTCCAAAAAGCAAAATGAGTTCTCTGTCTATAGCTTGTGCGTTTTATGGACAATATTATGAAATCATAATTATTATACTCAAAATAAAAGTATGAATTAATTATGAGTATATTTTCAAATGCAAACACATTTTTCTACACTATTTATTCACCAAAATACTTGTGAATTTATGGCTTTGTTGGATACAAGAACCATAATAACATAAGAGTCATCCAAGAACGTTTATAAATACTGTCAATACGCCAATTAATCCCACTAATTACTGCACTGTGCCCTGTGTATCTTGCATAGAAAATGAGTGATTCCAACTAATAATTTTGTCAGTTCTTTTTACTAATTATAATCACAAGAAAATAAACATAAGATTGCTCAATATGTCGTGGGGAAATGAACGGAATGTAAAAAGTCTGTAATTTGAGGGTTAAAGCTATTGCTTTTTTGTGTAGCCTCGCCTTAAAAAGGTTGCAGAAGCAGAAATGGAAGAGACAGAAAATAAGCTGGTAAGTTATTTTTATTTTATTTATTAAGAAGAAAATATTATATATTCATGTAGTTCTAAAAGTTACTGTCTAGGGTGCCCAAAAGGTACAAAATAAATGACAATTTGTAACTAAACACCTCAGGCAAAAAATAAAAAACAATAAACGGACGGTGGAACTAACATCAGTAAAATACGATTCAAGTTTTTAAAGTGCAGTTCCTTTTTTGTTTGTCGAGTGTGGCGACCTTTCGGTTTTTATGTCCACGCTACGTGAAAAGAAATAAAACAAAAATAGCCTGATCATTTCATGTGCATGCAAATCAGTGAGAGATGTAAGGTTCACATTTATACTACAAACCAACTTATGCAAAGTTACTCTTAAAAAAAACATGTGCATAAACATTCATGATCCAAACAACACTAATCAGTGGACAGATATAATATGATATATATAAGATACACCCAGTCACAATATATCAATTATACCTGTCCACTAATAATTAAAATGTGGTAATGTAAGGTACACCCAGTCACAATGTTACCACATTTTAGTTATTAGTGGACAGGTATAATATGATATATATAAGGTACACCCAGTCACAATGTTACCACATTTTAATTATTAGTGGACAGGTATAATATGATATATATAAGGTACACCCAGTCACAATGTTACCACATTTTAAATATTAGTGGACAGGTATAATATGATATATAAGGTACACCCAGTCACAATGTTACCACATTTTACTTATTAGTGGACAGGTATAATTTTATATATAAGGTACACCCAGTCACAATATTACCACATTTTAAATATTAGTGGACAGGTATAATATGATATATAAGGTACACCCAGTCACAATGTTACCACATTTTACTTATTAGTGGACAGGTATAATATGATATATAAGGTACACCCAGTCACAATATTACAACATTTTAATTATGATTGGACAGGTATATTTTTGATATATAAGGTACACCCAGTCACAATGTTACCACATTTTAATTATTAGTGGACAGGTATAATATGATATATATAAGGTACACCCAGTCACAATGTTACCACATTTTAATTATTAGTGGACAGGTATAATATGATATATATAAGGTACACCCAGTCACAATGTTACCACCATTTTAGTTATTAGTGGACAGGTATAATTTGATATATAAGGTACACCCAGTCACAATGTTACCACATTTTAGTTATTAGTGGGCAGGTATAATTTGATATATAAGGTACACCCAGTCACAATGTTACCACATTTTAATTATTAGTGGACAGGTATAATTTGATATATAAGGTACACCCAGTCACAGTGATACAACATTTTAATTATGATTGGACAGGTAGATTTTTGATACTTAAGGTACACACAGTCACAGTTTTACCAGATTTAAATTATTAGTAGGCTGATATTTACGGTATAATCCGTCACATTTTAGCCGCATCTGTTAACACCAATAGCTTTACGTTTCCGGATACATTATTGTAGGCAGACTGTTACCTTTTCTAAGACATGCACTAACCTAAAAAAGGAGTTGGATACAGAACTAGTTATATATTTTCTGTAAACGGATTACCGGTTGCTTTCTTATCATATTTCCAGCGAATAACATTATTTTAAGAAAGAAATATAAAGTATTAAATATGTGTTGTTAAAAAATGGTTTTAATCCATCATTACTTGACATCTTTTGAGGTGTTTTTTAAATAATGTGTACACCCCTTGTAAAGTGAGTTGTGATGTTCCAAGTCTGTGATTCTACGTCAGTTTCCTATTTATAGGGAAAAAACAACATTGAAATCAAAATATCAGTGTTTAGTTTTAAAATCAACGTTGATATGGGCGAGATTACGCGCAGTTAACCACACGGCGTTTCGAACAACATCTGAACCCTAGTATTAGTATTTTAAGCATTTAGACCAGGGTCTCCCATAGTGGTCGATATCCACCCCTCGGATTGATGAGACTGTACAGGGCGTGAATAAAGACCTAGGAGTCGAAAATGGCCCTTAGGATAAGGTTGGCCTACGCAACTAATCGCCCTACGCCTTTTCAATTTCGTACTTGGTCGAAGCTGTATTTATCCATGTGAATGGTCATCTGAGCAAACAGAGTAACAGGCTCAACGTTGAAGAACGCTGGGACTTCAGACTCAAACTCACAGCCCAATATTTATACGATTGTTAAAGTCAATCAGGCCCATCCATTTCATTAGAGAAAATTAAAACCTCATTCTTTTTTTACGTTTTATGTTTCCTAACTATTGTATTATGATAGGCTTAGCGCGACCCAGTGGATCTGCAACTCAATCTTCGCTTAGCGCAAAAAACAAATATACAAGTTTACATTAAAATACATGTAATAATAATTGCGCTCCTCATTTGGTGGTTGGTGCTGAGTAGCCGCCTTTCCTCTATTCTATCAGTTCAAAATTCGTGACGGTTACCGCAGCTAGCCCTTGAGTGGCTTTATTCGAACATCCGAAAACAAACAAATCGTTTGGTCACTTTTTACACCAAGTGTTAAACATGAAACCGGTAATAAATGGTATAAAAACAACTTTAGTAATTTGAAAGCTAAAACACTAATTGTTCCTAATTTTAAAAAAGGGGTCTATGGTTATATTAATTGTATTTTGTAAATGTGTTTCACTGTATAACGGTAACATTTAATTGAAACGTTATATAACAAATTTATTTAATTTCAGTACAAAAAATATCTTGTTTCAGCTCTTTCTCGTCCAGCAGTCGTTCCCTGTAGAAGACAGTAATATAGACGAATTCAGGAAATATCTCCAGTCTTATGCTGAATTTACTCGTTCTACCAAAGGTTCCAGGAAGTAAGATTAATTTTGTCGTATTTTATTTTAGAAAATTTATAAAAGGAAAATAAACAACGGTGTATAAGAATAATGCGCTAAAGATAAAAATAACGCTAAGTATTTAGATTCTTCTTCCTATTGTGTAACTGTATGTTATTTGTAAGTGTACTAATTTCCCTCAACAGTAATCAGATAGTTTCCGCAGAATAACGAGTGGTTCGACAGTAAATGTATGCAGAGTTAAACTATATTCCACGATTTTGACTGAGTTGCGAAGAGTGAAAGAAACTGAACAATATTTATAACATTACGACACAATGTTTATTTATTTACCAAAACAATAAAAACTAATGAATGTGGCGAAGGACGGTGGCCTCGCTGGAAATTTGAGAGTTCTCAGTTGCGAAATAAATCTCTGTGAAGACCTGTTACAGGCTGGAAAAAAATAGCATATCTATACGAGACAATAGTGCTATTCTTTCTCAAGGCGCATGCACCACCCATGTCACTGCTGGTCATTCCTATAGAAAAATAAGGGAGGTTGTAACCTCAAGGTATCATCTAACTCACCAGTAGAAAACATTGTTGTCTATTTTCACACACTGTTCTACTTTACAGTAATGTTTACCGCTAGAAGCTACACATTACATCAGATGAATGACTCAGAACAATAGGTAACAGGGTTGCCAAGTCCACGTATTTCCTGTGGATTTGGGTTTTGAATTTTTTTCTTAAAAGTCGCTTTAATATTTGCTGCTATGTTGTATTAATATAGTTTTTTAACAGAACTGCATTGCTAAACTTTGGTTGATTAAAGAGTAGTTTGTTTTGAGGGCCAATGGGCTTATTTATGTTGCAAAATCTGACAACCATAAGCTTACTGTAATGGACGTAGCGTGTATATATGTAACTAGGTATGTAACCGAAATAATAAATACAATGTGGCGCT